CAACCACCTCTATAAAGAGGGTAAAAATAGGAAATCAGTTGTCAACACACTTGTTCTTCTCCTTGATTTGCTGCTCAGTATAACAAAGCAAACTAAGAAGAAATTAGTAACTTCTTAGCTCAAATCTAATTTATATCTCTGTGTCTTTTATTAGGTACATCTTAGAATAAAATAATCAAAAGATGGGTAATGAAGCATCAGAATTTGGAATTAAATATGTTAAAGACTTTCTCTCTTTTTGCATTTACTTGTAACAATCAGCCCAAGAAGTGTTACTGAACTAGTCAGGGTAAGAAGTCTCATGGTTTCAGTCATTGCAGGTGTTCCTTTGTAAACAAGTTTACCATGGCAGCCTGCTGGGATTGCAGAGGATGCAAAGTCATGAATTACTGCTCAAAGTGAGTCATTGTCTTGAAAGAGACAATGCAAACCCAAAGGTACCTTGTGCTGCATTTTGAGGTTTCAGGTCTGTTCCTTCCCCATACAGGCTGGCGAGGAAGTCAGCAGATGGTGTTAATGTGAATCTCTGAAAAAAGAGATTTTGAAACAGAGGCAGAAATAACAAGCAAATAAGTTTCTTCTTGATCCCCAAATCAGCCAAATTTAGGGGAGGACAGATAAAGAAATAGTGGAAATACGTTTGGTGTTTTCTCAAGTAAAAAAACCAACAGAAACCAAACCTGTTTTAATGACATATGGTATGGGATTCTTTGTACTAAGGGACAGATTTGCCTTGCCTGATACAATCAAGAAGGCAAATCTCAAGACTTTCTTTGATAGAAACTAAAGCCAGTTCCAGTCTTTCCAGTTAAGTTGTGATTCACATTTGCTGGAGTTCAGGAAGAACTCTCTAGGAGCCTAGAAGTGCTTCTTTCTTCCTTCAAAAATGTTGCTTGTAAGGCAGAAAATTAAAAAAATTATTTTAATAATCCTTTTGGGAAATGGGAGAAACTTAATATAAAAGTGCAAATAATAAAAGTGAAATTTTCCAACAGTGGGACTAGCATAACTCTACTTGGAGTCTCCTCACTCAGAATAAGTTCCAAGTTACTGAATTATTCCAAGATATTTTTAATCTCATTGGCACCCTGAAGGTGAGGATATGTAACAGTCAGAGGACTGAAACATCAATACATGTTTCACCTGGTAAGGCTTCAAAGACATAAAAGTCTTGAAATCCTGTGTCTAATATCAAAGCCCTGGCCTTTGTTCTGAGCTGACAACTGCAGCAAATAGATCCTCTCATTTGCTTGCTGTGAGAGTCAAAGATGGCCACATCCTGAGGAAAGGCAGTAATTCCACTGCAGCCAGTAATCCCTGGGATGTGGTTTCAGAACTGGAAGAAGTTTAGAAGACACCAGTGCAGTTTGGGGACTTACATGCCGGAACAGTTTTCTGAGGTGTTTGAACTGTAAATAGAATCTGTAGAAATGGACTTGGCTCATTTCGTGTAGAACAACAACCACAACTCCAGCCAGGTGGCTTTGGTGATAAATACGGCACCAGCTGCAGGCAGAAAATAGCATTGATTAAAAAAATAAAATAAAAATCAAAGCAAAACAATTATCAAGTACTCTTAAAAACAAACTTGGAACCAGCCCAGCTTTTAAGTCAGTGAGTGGCAAAGTGCCAAATGACTTCAATGAGAAGAGGCTTTGTAGCTTATCTCAAGAAGACACATATTCCTGGAAGCAACAGAATATGGGAGACAGAGAAAGAATGAGTTATAGCAAACTTCTGCTGCATACCATTTCAAGACATTTATACCTCATTTATATGCATCAGAATGTGCATACACGTAAGTAACTTCAGCTGCAGTGATGCAGTCTAGTGAGTTAATGCATCAAAAAAATCCCACAAAATAATTTTCTATTCACTATTAAAAATCTAAAGTGGGATCATTTTTGCTCTGAGTTTCATTTTAAGAATCATTTCACCATATTTTTGTTATCCAAGGACCGTCCTCAGCCTTTCTCTTCCAGTGCTGAGAAGTTGCCCTGAGAAAAGGAAAAATTATTAAAAATGTTTTTCCCAAAGCATTCCAGAATGCTGTTTCAATTACATCTAACACGAAACATGTTAATATTTGTGTTAATATTTTAACATGGTATTTTGTTCGTCAGTGTGTGAAGCTTCTTCAGTTCCACCCACAACAGTAGTTTAGTTTTTCATAACTGCACGAAACAAAACTATGAAATGGTGGGATTTTTGTCAGAAGAGGAATTCTGGTCTCTGGTCAAGTCTAACAACAACTGTATCTGCACAATCCAGGCTGCCATTATGGCAACCGTGCTGCGAGTGTTTCAAACCCAGTGTGCCCAATCCTGAGGAATGTTTTCACAACACAGGAGAGCACAGGACAGGGCTGATTCCTGACTGTGGATGTTTTGTACCTGGGTTGTGCTGCATTGTGGCATTTTCCCAAAGCTGCATACTTCAACAACTCATACAGCTGGTCATGGCTGATTTCACAGTCCTCCCCAAGCAAAGCTGCTGACAGGCGACACGACTTTTCCTGTGGAAAGGGAAATGCCAGTAAAGAGAGGTTTTATGTAATCATACCAGTTCATGGAAAATAAAAGTAAAAGGAAAACTATTTAGATACAATCAACTACATTTAAAATAAGTCTTCCACTCGTTATAGGCTAAAATTTCCTTTCAGATCACACTTTAATATTAAATTCACTGTCAACATTTCAGTAATTCAGGTACTCTAACTTCAAAGATTTCTTTAATAAAGATTAATGTAAGCAGCTATATGCAGTAAGGAGGTTTAATTCATCTGCAAACACAATGTTCTACTCTCTCAACTCTTTCACCCACTTCCTGCTGTACAGCTTTGAATATTTGTACAAGTACCCACTCCATCTGAGGTTTTATGAAACCCATTTACTCCATTTGCAGTGTGTGATCTGCTCTGGCAGAGGGGTTTGCTGACCCCTGCAGGGAAAAACGTTTCAGTAAAATCCAAAAAAACTGCAGAAAGCAAACACCGAATGGATGAGGTGGGGACTGTGCCACACTGTTCAACACAGCAGTGCTTTAAGCCTGAATGCACAAATTCTTCTAAAGGCTAGTCAGCGAGGAAATGCAGGGTTTTGGAGACCTCCACTGACCAGATGGCCTGTTCCAAAGAATTCCTCCTGAAAACATTTTAAAGATGCTCCTCTCATATGTGATGAAAAGACATCACCCCATACAGAGGGGAAAAGGCCTCAGAACACTACAGAATATCAGACCCTAAAGGATAAACAACCACCAGAAGTGCTTTCCTCTGCACTCTAACAAGTCTTTGCTCAGTAATTTGTCCAGAGCCTGCTCATGTGGGACTGTGGGACTGTGCTCTTAAAGACATTTGTCATTGGGTAAGGAAGTTAAAGAGAGGTGACAACCTTTGAGGTTCCCGTGGTTAAGAATCATCTGGCAAGGACAGCACGGGCTGGTGCCTCATCTCTCATGCTAAGTTAGAAAAAGTAATGACACTGTTGTTTTCAACATGGCCTAATTAGAGCTTTGCAAAAAAAAATAAATAAAAAAATAAAAAAAAACCCAGACAAAGAGCAGAAGTTTTGATTCAGCAGGTAGAGGGTACTGCCAACCACAGGAATTTCAGTCTTCAGTTGGGTACAAACAGGGCTGATCTCACAGGTCGGACACAGCGACTCCTGTCCTGCACTGAGTCAGGGCACCCTGGGGGAGGTGTTCC